TGTAGCCCACGAAAGCTTATGCTCTAATAAATTTGTTAGTCTCTAAGGTGCCACAAGTACTCCTGTTCTTCTCACAAGTAAGAGATTGTTCTTGCTTCCTTCCACGAGTTAAGAGAGTAACATAATCTATGTTGTGTTATAAACATACTGTTCCCAGGACAATGTTTTTGCCTTTAAATAGGTTTGCTACAGGATAGTATCTCTAACGCATGCAGAGTTTCAGATATATTTGTTCCTTTCAGAGAGACATATTTCACCCATCATAAGAAACTTTAAAACTATCTGTTTGAGTTGGTTCAGGCCAGAAATAATTGTATCTTTTAACATAGAGAATATATATTTAGCAAGATGTATACTCTTAAAATCATAAAAACAAATAACCATGTAATGTGTTATAATGGAAGTCACGGTTTATTTTGAAAATAAAAACAATGAAACCGGAAAAATGAAGCCATAGTGTGCTGCAGGCAATCAGGTAACTACGTGTGTAATTAATTTGTATGTGCATTACTTCATTCAGCCTTTGGCTCCTCTTAACCATGGAATGAGTCATAGCATTACATACCAACATCAGATGTGATGAAATGAGATGCAACTAATCTTTTGAATGTAATCAAGCTGTAATACAGACTTAGCTTCTGTCAGGATTTAGTGTCCTGTTTTTCAGTGTCTTCAAGAAGCTAACTTGTGAAAGTGTATTGCATACATTGTGTAATATGTAATGTGTGCACGGAGTGGTGTTAATAAAAATATATATATAAATCGGTGTGAATAATGTTGTAGCTCCTAGTGTCTTGCTTCACTTCACAGTGTCCCCTTTCAACATTACAGACTCTGGAGGAAACAGCTCTCCTCCTTCAGGGTCTCTGAATGTTGCCAGGGAGGGATAAATGAAAATGGGGGTAATGCGGGAAATATGGAGGACCACACCACTGGGAACAGTAAAACAATTAAAATTGGATTGATAAGCCTATGCATCAATTTTAAATGTCAGTATATTTGATGTTGTCTTTACTTTGAAAAGAATGCCTGTTCTTAATTGATGTTAAAATTCTAGTGAAGACAGGGCAGTTTGTAGTTTTCGACCTGCTAACTCTTGTGAAAACTACAAATTGCCTTCTCTTCAGGTGGATTTTAACCTGAGTTCAGACCATCCCTTTTTTTCGTAGGGAAGACAAGCCTGTGATGGCCATATCTGATCTAAGCAGCACACTCACAATGGCTGTTTGGGTTGTTTTTTTACCATCAATGTAAAGGTTATAAATTATGAATATATTTTTTCCCTTCAGTCCTGGTCGTTCCCCGATTTCCTTTGACAGCGAAATAGTAATGATGAATCATGTGTACAAAGAAAGGTTTCCGAAGGTAAGGACCAATGTTTTGAACAATTTATTCAGTGAAAGTATTAAACAACACTGTTTAGGATTAATTCATAAGCACTTACTTGAGAGAGATCCAGTTGCTTACATATGGTTTCTAAGCAGTGTAGTTTGTTCAGAGTTTGCAGACATACTCATCCTCTGTTTTTCACTTTAATCTCACAATTGAGAAATCAGAATTAATGTTTAGAGGACTGCTGATGGAAAACTTTAAAAAGCATCCTGGTGAGCGATTACTGTGTATGTTTCATATTTCCTGAATTCCTCTTCCCTTTCCCTATTTATTATTACAGGGAATGTGCCTGAAGATAGGAACTTTTTTGCTAAATGCTCTTGCTCTCACTGCTTAATCCTGATTTGAAATAATCACCTTTGTTTTGTTACATCGCAGTTGATTATGGTCAAGGTCCCTGAGCACTCTGCAGCAATCTTGACCAAAATTCTTCTTCAAGACCCTTGCATTCTATGACACTCCTGTAATAAATTTAATATTATGATTCCCATTCTGTGAGCACAGCACAGGGATACAGAATCAGAGTTGAGGTTTTTATGGACCCTTAACACTGAATGTTCTGACTTTCAGAAACTTGGATTTTTTACTACAAGATTCTAATTATGTTTAAGTTAATGTACATGTCATTACAACCAGAACTCTTAGTTGGTAGTATTTTTTTTCTGTGAATTCTAATATCACTGAGCTTTCTTGAATAGTCATATATTTTGGCAATGAAAAAGTGTATCAGTTAGCATCCTATCTGTTCACATTTACATGTCAGGATAGCAAAATTCAAGTAAGTTTGTCTTCTTTTTATTCTTTGCTTTTAGGCCACAGCACAGATGGAGGAACGGCTGGCTGAGTTTATTGCTTCTAATGCTCCAGAGAACGTGCTGCAATTAGCAGATGGGGTCCTAAGCTTCATTTATCATCAGGTTATTGAGCTGTCCAGAGACTGCCTGGATAAATCACGTGAAGGACTTATTACTTCCCGGTACTTTTATGAGCTGCAGGAAAACTTAGAGAAACTCCTACAGGATGTAAGTCCACTTAGAAAATATATAATACGTTGCTTTGATTAAACCTTTAACAATAAATAAAACCTTGAGTTTTGGGAGAGCCAGTATGTTTCAATGGGTAGGACACCAGGTGGGCAGTTAGGAGACCAGTGTTAACATCCGAGTCTGCCACTGATGTACCATGTATATTTGGGCAAATCACTTCACCCCTGTACTCCAATTTTACAAAAATCAGGAAATGTACATGAATGAGTTGGGGGAGTTTAGTGAAAATTCGGCTCAACCAGGTAAAAGAAATTGCTTTACTTTCATGTACTTTAAGAATTTGAATGACTTATTAATGAGGATAGTGCCTTGAAGGAATAAAAACGTCATAGTGTTACTATAAATATTTGTTTTACAAAGGATTTTCAAAAGTTGAACTTTATTCTTTTTTTTTTTTAGTTCTGCAATGTATTTTGTAGCATTCAAAATATTAACAAAAACACAGGACGACACAAACTTTAATACATGTTGATTGCACTTCAACTATTCAAACAAAATCACTGTTTTCTATAAAATAAAAGAAATATTTGATAAAAATGTCCCTATAAGTTAATGTTTGTATGTCAGTTTAAATGCCTGTTTTACCTATATGTAAGCTGGACTGGAATTCTGCTGATGAATTTTGATGGAGAGAACAAATTATAGGGATCAAAAGGATATGCCACAGCTGCCGTGATGGGTTTGTCGATAGTGCTATTTGTTACCATAGTATAGGTTTTGACTTGGGAACAACTTTCTAACTGTTGCTTCTTGGTTAGGGAGCAGTTGAGCTGGAATATTATGGAGGTGATGATGCCTGTAGCCTCCATATCTTGGAAGATCACAGGTATTGCCGAGTGATGTAAGAAGGGAGAGATGAGCTAAGTTAGTTGAAATAAAATTAGTTTATTCTCTATGTTGGGTTTTGTATATGTTCTGTGGAGCTGCATAGATATTTCCCTGAGCAGTTTGCAGCTCCCATGATGTGAATTCTAGCAATTTGTACACCGTTGCCATTCTTTCCAGGTAATGGCACTGTACATGAGAAAATGGTATCAAGATTAAAAAGCTGTGCAAAATACTAGGAACTCTTACTCATATTAGCTAAAATCTTTAGCAACCTCCTTTTGAAGACAGAGCTCCTCTTGGTATGTGCTGTAATTACTTGGGAGAGAAAACTCAAGTTTGTCTTCATAAAGATCTTCCATTATAAAGAGGAGAATTCTGACAACACAAGAGTCTAAGGGGATGCCTGGTGACGGTATCTGTGAGGTTTTTTAAAATGTTGCTTATATATGTTAGAACTAACTACTATGAACATAACATTTCGGTGGTACATTGATTTTTATACTGATCTTAAATATCCTGTTGTTTATCTTGTATTTTGCTTACACAGTTTAATCTAACTCATACTTTTTTCAGTTAATGTTTCTTCTCTTGAGAGTATGAATTAATTACTAGGAATTGCATTGTTGCTAAAGCCCTCAGAGATAACCTTGTGACATTTGCAAGTAACAACAGTTAACCTTTTTTTTGAGGACTTAGCAGAGCAGAGGAGTGTTTTAATTATTTATTGATAAGTGAATTTGTAGCATTCATGACAGTGACAGTGAAGACTAGTTCTTAAATACTGTCCAGGAGTGCCATTGCCAATGAGTTCTCCTTCCTAGAGCTATGTGGCTGGATTGCCATGAAAAGAGTTCCCAGACACCATCTGAGATGCTTGTGTGTTTGGAAGTTTAGTTCAGCACAAAAGTAGGATGTGTCTTTATGTTCCAGGGCAAGTATCACAAATTTCAATAGCAAATACAGGTTTTACTACAGTCACAGCTAGTCGTGGTGTGGTATTGTTTGCACACTGTTGGCTCCATCACACGGAGCCCTGGATGTGATCAGATGAGCATACTTCCACATGAGCTCTCTAGCCCTTCATGTGCATCCGAATGAGTCTAGAATTGGTGGACTTACAGAAACCTTTGTTGCTACATCCCTCTGTCAGGCTGCCCCCCGGCGATATCAGAATGACAAGACCTGATAACGCACAGTGGAAAAAGCTGACCAGAGATTCCAGTCTGTAGGAATGGAGGGGTTGTATCTCACCAAAGAAGTTGTCCTGGAGTGATGGTCTTTAAAAGGAAATGTGAAAATTAGACTAGACTAGAAATGTGAGCAGCACAAGCTTCCAGAGCAAGCTAAGCAACACCTCAGTGTGGGTTCAGTTAGACAATGCCACCATGGCTCTTTAGAGAAACTGAGAAGGAGGCACAAGAAGCAAAGATGTCACTGAAGAGTTTCACCTACTGATGACTTTTGTGGGGAAAAAAGCTGTCAACCACTCGCATAGCTCAAGACCTAAGCGATGAGGCAGATAGGCTAACAGGCAACAGATATACACAAGAAAATGGGAATTCAATTTCAGTTTCAGAAGCTGTGTCTCTGGTGGGTAAATCCACAGCTGAGTGCAGACACCGCACTCAGTAGAGCAGAACTTTATCATGCCAAGTGCAACAAAAATGATTAAGGGTATGGAATGGCTTCCGTATGAGGAGAGATTAATAAGACTGGGACTTTTCAGTTTGGAAAAGAGACGGCTAAGGGGAGATATGATTGAGGTCTATAAAATCATGACTGGTGTAGAGAAAGTTACTACTTCTCATAACACAAGAACTAGGGGTCACCAAATGAAATTAATGGGCAGCAGGTTTAAAAACAAATAAAAGGAAGTATTTCTTCACACAACACAGAGTCAACCTGTGAAACTCCTTGTTAGAGGATGTTGTGAAGGTCAAGCACCATAACAGGGCTCAAAACATAACTAGATAAATTCATGGAGGATAGGTCCATCAATGGCTATTAGCCAGGATGGGCAGGGCTGGTGTCCCTAGCCTCTGTTTGCCAGAAGCTGGGAATGAGCAACTGGAGATGGAACACTTGATGATTCCCTGTTCTGTTCATTCCCTCTGGGGCACCTGGAACTGGCCACTGTCGGAAGACAGGATACTGGGCTAGCTGGACCTTTGGTCTGACCCAGTAGGGCCATTCTTATGTTCATATATATTTCCACACCTGCCCTCTTATAGGCAGGGTGTTCCAAAAGGTAGGTAAGATCCCAGGGGAAGCAAGCCTAAGGGGAAAAACAGTTTAAGAGAGTGGGCAGTTTTTCAGAGAGAAATTATTAAGGACACAATAGCAAACTATCCCAGTGCGTAGGAAAGATAGGAAGTATTGCAAAAGACCACTGTGGCTTAACCAGGAAATCTTCAATGATCTGAAACTCAAAAAGAGTCCTACAAAAAGTGGAAACTAGGTCAAATTACGAAGGCTGAATATAAACAAATAACACAAGTATGTAGCGACAAAATTAGAAAGGCCAAGGCACAAAACGAGATTAAATAACTAGAGACATAAAGGGTAACAAGAAAACAGTTTACAAATACATTAGCAGCAAGAGGAAGACCAAGAACAGGTTAGGCCCATTATTCAGTGAGCGGGCTGGGGGGGGGGGGGGACAATAACAGAAAATGTGGAAATGGCAGAAGTGCTAAATGACTCTTTTGTTTCAGTTTTCACCAAAAAGGTTAGTAGCGATTGGACATCTAACATAGTGAATGCCAGTGAAAATGAGGTAGGATCAGAGGCTAAAATATGGAAAGAACAACTTAAAAATTACTTAGACAAGTTAGATGTCTTCAAGTCACCTGATGAAATACATCCTAGAATTCTCAAGGAGCAGACTGAGGAGATATCTGAGCCATTAGCAATTATGTTTGAAAAGTCATGGAAGGCAGGGAGAGGTTCCAGAGGACTGGAAAAGGGCAAATATAGTGCCAATCTATTAAAAGGGAAATAAGAACAACCCAGGGAATTACAGATGAGTCAGTGTAACTTCAGTACCTGGAAAGATAATGGAGCACATAATTAAGCAAACAATTTGCAGACACCTAGATTAGAAGATAGTGAGATAAGTAACAGTCAACAGGGATTTTTTGACAGAGTAACAAGCCTTGTGGATGGGGGGGAAGTGGTAGATGTGGTGTATCTTAACTTTAGTATGGCTTTTGATATTGTCTCACATGATCTCCTCATAAACTAAGGAAATACAGCCTAGATCAGTGGTTCTCAACCTATTTACCATTGTGGGCCGCATCCAGTACTACTTGTTTGGCCCTGAGGATGTCACATGGGCCACAGCTGTGTGCTGATTGGTCTGCAAGTGGCCCATGGGCCATAGGTTGAGAAACACTGGCCTAGATGAAGCTACTATAAGGTGGATGCATAACTAGTTGGAAAATCATTCCCAGCGAGTAGTTATCAGTGGTTCACAGTCAAGCTGGAAGGGCGTATCGAGTGGGGATCAGTTCTGGGTCCAATTCTGTTCATCTTCATCAATGGTTTAGATAATGATATAGAGAGTACACTTATAAAGTTTACAAATGATACCAAGCAGGAAGGAGTTGCAAGTGCTTTGGAGGATAGGATTAAAATTCAAAATGATCTGGACAAACTGGAGAAATGGTGTGAAGTAAATAGGATGAAATTGAATAAGGACAAATGCAAAGTACTCCACTTAGGAAGGAACAGTCAGTTGCACACATACAAAATGGGAAATGACTGCCTAGGAAGGAGTACTGCGGAAAGGGATCTGGGGATCATAGTGGGCCACGAGCTAAATATGAGTCAACAGTAATACACTATTGAAAGAAAAGCAAACATAATTCTGGGCTGTATAATGGGAGTTTTGTAAGCAAGACACGAGAAGTAATTCTTTCGGTCTACTCCACGCTGATTAGGCCTCAACTGGAGTATTGTGTCCAGTTCTGGGTGCCACATTTCAGGAAAGATGTGGACAAATTGGAGAAAGTCCAGAAAAGAGCAACAAAAATGATTAAAGGTCTAGAAACCATGACTTATGAGGAAGATGGAAAAAATTGGTTTTGTTTAGTCTGAAGAAGAGAAGACTGAGAGGGGACATAACAGTTTTTAAGTACATAAAAGGC